CACCAAAGGGTCAACAACCCCCCCCCCCCCCCCCCCCGTTCCCCTCGTTTCTTTACCTATGTGTCTAAAAACACACTTCACAAAACAATTATAACTTGATCACACTCCAGTCTCGAAAAAAATTAAAATATTCAGCAAAATCAATCAGTTGAACACGGACTATCCTTTTTGTGTTCAAAAATTGCTAAGGCGCTAGCTCACCAATCAGCTGTTTGTGAGGTATATTTTAAAATAATTTTTTATTAAAACAACTTTATTTCAAATTCATTTTGTTAGAAACCTAATATCGCTTTCTAATGGTTATTCGAGAACTAAAAACCTAACCGTAAAAAAAAAAATGCACGCTGTAGTGACGGTGCACACACGACACTAAACATTAGCTTCCGTATATTAATAACTTACTTACCTGTAACTGCAAAAGTATCTCAATATGTAGCTTATGAAAAAGTTAAATAAGAAAAGGGACCTGAACTAATATTTGATATTTTTTGATTAAGTGTTTTTTTTTATTCTGCATTTCGATTATTTGCTTCATTTAAATAGAAAAAAAATATATAGAAGTGTGTGTGTGTGTGGGGGGGGGGGGGGGGGGGGGGGGTACTGATTATCGAGATGTACAATTATGACGACAAATGAACAAGTTTATATCATGAATTTAATTTCAAACTAGAGACAGTCCTTTCCTATTTTTTGTTGATCTCCTCTCGACTTTGACCATTGGTCGATCGCTTACAGCCGACATCAATGCAAGTGACTGTGCATTTCTTAGAAAACAAAACGCACATAATTCTTAAGCTGAGGTGGATAAACTTTGTAAATCATACACATAACATTTCAATATAGTACAAGTATAATAATTTTTTCTACAAGTCTAGAAAATCATGCTTGTTTGACAGTACTACTACATTGTACTACTAAATTCTGGGATCCCTTCCCGGAAATTCGTGGTTTTTTTACCTCCCGCTTGAAATCAGGCGGTATCAACTTAATAAACAATACGTTAATTTTTTTAAGTACTCACCTCATTTCATCTGGATGAATAAAGTTTCGTAGATTAGCGTGTTGGATACAATCATTTGTCAAAATTATATCCATGTATTTCTGAAAATTATTCAACTATTTCAAACTATCAACAATGTATGATGAATTGAAAGATAGTTCAAAATAGTTTCGTGGAATATTTGCAGGATTAAGTAAATAGTTCTCGGTTAAGAGAATTTACAGTTTTCATCTCACGTAACGTTTAAATCAGTAACGTCGTGATGACGTCGTTACGTCAAAAGTTGTAATAATTGAAGAAAATGCACCATTTTCCCAAATCTCTGGCGGAAAAACGGTAAGAGATAATTCCAAAAAATAAAATTATTTTGAAAGGACACATCGTGGGCATGTTTGCAACAAACTTTAATCAAATTTACAGACAGGGCCGCCTCGTTATACATACTGTACCCAGTTCTTTAAAATTTTAAAAGGAAAACAAAATATAATTGAAAAGACATCAATAATCATGATAATATTTTTGAATTTCTAATTTTTAAAAAAAATCTCTTTAAAAAAATTAATTTTACAGCTAGATCAACTTCCATTATAAGATATAAAGAAAAAATCCCTTTTTTAGCTCACCTGAGCCAAAGGCTCAAGTGAGTTTTTCTGATCACATTTTGTCCGTCGTCCGTCCGTCTGTCTAGCTGTCTGTCTGTCTGTCTGTCTAGCTGTCTGTCCGTCTGTAAACTTTTCACATTTTCGACTTCTTCTCAAGAACCACTAGGCGAATTTTGACCAAACTTGGTACAAAGCATCTTTGGGTAAAGGGGAATTTAAATTATTAAAATAAAGGGCTAAGTCCCCTCACAAGGGAAGATAATCAAGAAAAGACAAAAATAGGGTTGGGTCATTAAAAAATCTTCTTCTCAAGAACCACTGGGCCAGAAAAGCTGAAACTTACGTGGAAGCATCCTGGTATAGTGTAGATTCTAAATTGTTCAAATTATGACCCCCGGGGGAAGGGCGGGGCCACAATGGGGAATCAAAGTTTTACATAGAAATATATAGGAAAAATCTTCTTCTCAAGAACCACTGGGCCAGAAAAGCTGAAACTTATGTGCAGATGGGAGGATCCTGGGGTAGTGTAGCTTTCAAAATGTCTAAATTATGATCAGTGGGGTAGGGTGGGGATGCATTATGTATTACAAGTGGGAAATCTGGTAAAAATCAGAATGGTCAAAGCTTCTCAGGTGTTTACGATTCATCGGGTGCGTTAAATCGCCAAAGTCTGTTCACCACAACTGCACGGACTGACAATATATTGTGTGTTTGTTTTGCTTTAGAACATGTCTACACTGAATTTTCTGGATTATAGTATTAATATTTTTCATTAAAACACATCAGGATTGCCACTTTTCCTAAGGATTAAGAATAAAGTTGAAATTTGTAAAAGTGCAAGGATGTGTCAATCAAACCCGCCAAAAGATTTAAAGTTTTAATAACTTTTAAATGAAATAAGATTTTTAATTAATTTTTGCGAGAAATGCTATTAAAATATATAAGTCGTAATATTATAGAGAAAATATTAATTTCAAATCTGTGTCCAAGTACCTTTAAAATGCATATTAAAGCATCAGGTGTTTTATTTAAGTTTATTTCAATATCAACCCCTTGGGGCTATGTAAGATTTGGACCACAATATGGAGTCAAAGAATTTTTTATGGAAATAACAACAGAAATAACGTCTTTTTATAATATCCTGGTCATGTAATGGCCATATTACTCAATTTTTTTTATTTAAATTTTTATATCTAAAAACATTTCAGTCAGTTATATATACAAGGAAAGTGTTATAAATAAATACTCTGTATTTATAAGTAAAATCAAATGCTCCAGATATGATTAATGAATGTGCATTTTATATTTAAACTATAGTCCAAATATCAATTATAAATAATTCCTTAATAGAATTTTTCTAAAATAGAAATTTTGGGGTAGCTTTGAACAAATCTTACTAGGGATGGGTATCGCCAAAAATTTCGTATGGCGATTTATTATATGATTGAATAATTTCCTTCTCTCTGATTGGCTGAAATACAACTATGTTAGAAAAATACTACATTGTATTGACCTGCACGTGATGTTCCAGGTCAATACAAGGAATTATTGCAGGTTAATATAAGGAATTATTGACCTGTTCAATTTTTTCTATTACAATGTGTTCTTGTTGAAATTTCTTGTTAAAACTTTCAATTAAAGCAAAGAAACAGACTTGTAGGCGTTTGCTCTCATTTAATCATATAATAAAACAGTTATTGCTGTTTTTACGGTCAATACGATGATTTAGCCACCTTCCAAGTACAATATTCACTTCGCCCTTCGGGCTCAGTGAATATTGTACTCCTCAGGTGTCTAAATCATCGTATTGACCTAAAAAACAGCAATAATTGTATAATATCACGATTTTTTTTTTTCAACAATATCACGATAATATCATGATATATTTAAAAACAGTTTTTACAATGATTTTATATGAAAAGTCATTATTTTCTAAAAAAATATGCTAGAAAAAACAAAATTTTACTTTCTTGAAATTTTTATACATATAAAATCAATTATGTTTGGACGCTAAGATGCTGTTCTTTTCACTTTTTACAACATTTTTAGCTCACCTTGACGAAGTCGAGATGAGCTTATGCTATACCCCCGGCGTTGGCGTCGGTGTCGGCGTTAGCGTCGGCGTCCCAGGTTAAAGTTTTAGAAGCAAGTCCATTCCCAAGTAACTATAAGCCCTACCTGAACCAAACTTGCATGGATGATGCATCTAGGGATGTACACTACCACACTTGCTTCGGATGATGCTGAATCTGACCTACATTTTCTAGATGAGTGACCAGGTTAAAGTTTTTGGAGCAGGTCCATTTCACAGGAACTATAAGCCCTACTTGGACTAAACTTGCATGGATTATGCATCTAGGGATGGACACTACAAGTCTTGCTTCAGATGCTGGATCTGACCTACATTTTCTTTCTCAAGTAGCTATAAGACCTACCCGAACCAAACTTATATGGATGATGCATCTAGGGATGGACACTACCAGACTTGCTTCTGATGCTGGATCTGACCTACATTTTCATTCCCAAGTAACTATAAGCCCTACCTGAACCAAACTTGCATGGATGATGCATCTAGGGATGGACACTACCCGACTTGCTTCAGATGCTATATCTGACCTATATTTTCATTCCCAAGAAAGTGTAAGCCCTACCTTAATCAAACTTGCATGGATGATGCATCTAGGGATGGACAGTATCAGACTTGCTTCGGATGCTGGATCTGACCTATATTTTCCATACAAGAGACCAGGTTAAAGTTTTGGGAACAGATCAATCCAAATGAACTTGAAGTTCTTGATATCTACAGTATTAACAAAGTTATTAATATTTGTTTACACTATACCTGTTTTTCACGCAACATGTGTAGAAATGTGTATATGCCATGTAAGGGGTTAAACACAACTTTCAAATATATTGTTGTTGGGATAAATACTAACCATTAAGAAAATATGATGTGAGATTTGCATTACTTACACTGATAACATTCCTTGAGGTGAGCTTCGTAATCTTTGATTACCTATGTTTTATACTTTCTGTAATTGTAATTGAAAGATTGAACAAATAAATGAATAATTTCTAGACTTTTTAATATGTACCGAAGACCAGTATTTGGGTGTCCATATCACGATACGTATCACGCAACAAAAAATCATGATATACCGATATACTGCTAAAATCGCACATCCCTAAACCTTACAGAAGAGAGTCAACCCTTCTTGCAAGAAAAAATTCAGTGAATTTTCGTTTTGTCATATGGTATCCTTATCAAAAAAGTCATAATTTCTTATTGAATTCAAAAATTTATATAAAGAGTCGCTCTCTGCTGAAAAATAATTAATATCTTGATATGTAAATTATATTTTTACACAGACTAATAATTCATGTGATTAATATTTTAGAGCTCATTTACTGATGCCGAGCTGCTGTGTTCGAGTTCTCTAAATCTGATTATTGACGGGAAAACACCTCTAGTTTCTGCCCCGGTTGTCCAGTTCCCCACCTCACGTGACCCCCACAGCTTTGTATCCTTGGCTCTTACCATCACCACTGAATTCACTGTGGCATTCATAGGGAGCTCCACAGGGCATATTCAAAAGGTAACATTCATATGGCAAATCATACAGGTAACTGTTATGATAATAAGCATTTCAGGAAGGTGTTATTGTCATAGGGCAATTAAGAATGCACATTGTTGAAGGGCAAATAAGAAATGTGATATAACCATCAAAGATTGATTAATTGATTGTATGTTGTTTTACATCCTATTTGAGAATTTTTAATTATGCCCGCCTTCGAAGAAGGGAGGGCATATTGCTTTGCTGCTGTCTGTCGGTCCACTTAGTTTCCGTTCATTTTCTTTGCAACCGTTGCACATACTGAAATGAAATTTGGTATACAGATATATCACATGAATATCTAGGTCAAGTTCTGTTTTGGGTACAATTGCACCATTTTTGACAGAGTTATGCCCCTTGGACTTAAAAAAATTTCAATTTTTTGCAGTTTCCGTTCATTTTCCTTCAACCATTGCACATGGTGAAATGAAATTTGGTATACAGATATATCATATGAATATCTAGGTCAAGTTCTGTTTTTGGTATGATCGCACCATTTTTGACAGAGTTATGACCCTTGGACTTAGAAAAATCTCAATTTTTTGCAGTTTCCATTCATTTTCTTTGCAACCATTGCACATACTGAAATGAAATTTGGTATGCAGATTTATCAGATGACTATCTAGATCAAGTTCTGTTTTAGGTACAGTTGACTATTTTTGACAGAGTTATGCCCTTTTTGGACTTGGAAAAATTCCAATTAGTGGGGAGGGGGGCATAAGTGTTTTACAAACATCTCTTGTTCATAGAGAGATGTCACCAAAAAATGGTGAAGAGTTTTAAATTTTGACTTTTGCTTGGCACATAGTGCCATTGAGCAGTAGGGATCTTTATCATGTCAATGCCTGCTGTGACACAGCTAGGTCCTCGGTTTTCAAGGTTTCACAGGTAAGACCCACAGGTTTCACTTCAAAGTCCTAAAAAGCTTGGGGAAAGAATAGTTGCCATATAATTTTCATCAACTTTAGGCAGTTGCAGCAGAGGTTCAAACCCACAACCTTCTGATCATAGAATGAGAACTTTAGCAACTGAGCCTCAGAAATTGAAAGATAATACAAGTCAAAAGACAAAAATCATCAAAGGGCATATACACAGAATTAACTTATTTTGAAAGAAGGGTGGCTTATAAGGGCTTTAAATCATAAAAGAGTGGTAATAAAATGTAGGTTATAGGATCTGTTCCTTAGAATAGAAACTTAATGTTTGATCTACCTATACCATGTATACTAATCTTTGTGTACTCTGTAGACTGATGATGACTTTGTTTTGTAGGTTTTCCTGGAGTCATCCACTAAGGGAGAGCTATATGATTCGGCTATCATGGTGGATGAGGGTCATGCCATCCGCCAGGACATGGTGTTAGACGATTCCCAGATGTACCTCTATGCCATGAGTGACAGGAAGGTAAGATACTAAGCACCTGTCTGACAGGGTACCCCCCTCTCTCTCAACAAAATGTCTGCAGCTTATCAGCTAGAGTTTAGGGGCAATCTGGTAACTGCAGCAGCACATATTTCTGATCTGAATTCAAAGATAAAAATCTAAGATAAACAGCCTCCACCCAGGATGGTACAATAGATCAAAATGTAAAAAAAAATGTGTATGTGTCATTGAGAGCATTATTCATTGAACCTGGACTTTTCTTATAGTCATGGGGTATTAAATGTTCATTTGGGCATAATCCAAGTCAATGTGGAATTTTCGTCATGTAAACAAATAAACAAGTTGGGGCATTAGAGTTGTTATGAAAACATCTGTCAGTGTGAGGCACTTGAGAAAAAAGAAAAAAGCTCTGCATTGTGGAGTGTTAGTAAGGAAGATTGAAATGTTTTGTCAGATGAGAAACTGAAATTTTTTGCAGTTTTAAATGCTTTTCTCTGACAGGCAGCCAGAGAAGTAAAGGAGTTTTTTAGATCATCAGAGAAGAGGCTCTGGGAAACTCAGTGTTTTTGTGTGTTTTGGGTATATCGAAGCTATTTAGTGCACACTTTTGTTTTAATGAGCTCATATAGGCACTCAAAAGTTTCCAGTTTGAAAGCAGTTCTATAAACATGCATGTAGTTATTACGAAGATTAGGATCAAATGCAGAGGTGGCATCTTCCGAAGTTTTTTTTTTAAATAAATGGTGATTCATTCCTAAGAGTCTAAAGCTGTTGCAGAAATATGCACAGGAGAGAAACCTGATGCTGTGTTAACATCATGAATACATATTTGTTTCATAATGTACTTTTAAGAGTCGAGGAAAATGAAGTGATTTGGCGACTGATTTTAAAAAAATGTTGCAGTATAGAAGCAAAACATATTTTATTTTGATTAAAATATCTTATTTTTTGGTAACTATTATCAGGGTGTATTATTCAAATTTAAACTTTTATTTTTCAAAGAAGCTTATCTCATTATGTGTCCAATTCATACAAGGGAGTTTTTCTCTCAGTTTTTTCTTTACTGGTTTAATTTCAAATTATATTTGTACAGACATACCCAGTAAGAACTCGTTGACATCATGTTTTCAAACTTGGAATTTGGAAAGATGAGAGAAACTCCCCTCCTCTCCCCCCCCCCCCCCCCCCCCCCCGAAAAGAAAAAAAAAGTATTTTTGTTTTTTTTGTTTTCAAATTAAGGTTAATCTCCATCATAAAACATTTTGGACAATTTAAAAATTTTATGAGAAATAGATATTTTAAGCAATTATATGCAAAAGATGGCATATTAAGAAACTTTCATGTAGATTGTCTGAAAACAGAACTGTTGTAAGGGATACATGTATGTAGTTTTAAACCTTATATAAACAAAGTCCACTTGTTTTCCCTTAAGAGGTTTCTTTTAAGATTTCACAGGAATCTGAAGTCTTATCATACAAAAAAAAATCACAGAAACAAATAATCCATTCTCAACTAAAAAAAAAATCAATTGCAAGTAAAGTATTTTTTCCTGAATAATTTTTTACAATAAAAATTTCAGACTCGTACAAAGATAAACACTGCATGTTATACCCCATCCCTCAGTTATCTTTGGGATTATCTCTTTAACATGATACCAGGTAATAGTATTATATACAGAACTGATATCTGTATTTTATTTACAGGTGGCCAGGATCCCGGTACAGAACTGTTCCCGGTACACCACGTGTGGTGACTGTCTGTCCAGTATCTATATTGATATTTGATATCCGTATTTTATTTACAGGTGGCCAGGATCCCGGTACAGAACTGTTCCCGATACACCACATGTGGTGACTGTCTGTCCAGCAGGGACCCATACTGCGGGTGGTGCACCCTCAGTCACAGGTACGTGTCACTAAAACAATAGAAATGTCAGGGGAAATATTTCAATATACTGTACCAGAGTGTATGCATTGGTAAATAGTGGGCTTATGTATTGTTCATATGACTGTTAATTTATAGAAACAATTCAATTTCTTTAGAAAGATACCCTTCTAATACTTTGATCCCAGACTTAGTCAGGGTTATGTATAAGTTAAAGAGTCGTGTCTTTTGATTAAAAACCAGTAGAGGGTATATGCATTGGTAAGGTGTCCATTTTTTAGCTCTCTGCAGTCTCTGGTTGGCTGCTTATGTTTTTGTCCGTAAACAATCTCCTGCAACAATTATGAACCAATTATTTCTTTAATAAAACTTACTACCTAAGTAGACTACAGCTTGATTCATATTTTGTTGGATTTGATGAATGATGTTGCCATGATCATTAAAAAGAAATGAATTTATGTGAAACTATTTCATGTGGTAAACTTCTGACAGTTCGATTTGCTTTGTAGTTAAAACTTGGTACACATTTAAACATCAGATACTGTACCTTATTTTCTAAGTGTGTGTAATACATGTATATATCCTAAAGAAATATTTTATACCCATGCAGACACATCTTTTCTCTTTCACTGCTAACTATTATATCCATGCAAATTTCAATAAAACATTTATACAAGTAGGATGCATAAACTATTATTGCATAATTCTATTTATCAGTAATATTTTGATGAAGTCTTGTCATGCAGGGTTACAAAAATAGAATAAAATGTTGATTTTGTTTTTGAGATGCTCTTTGCCTCTTTAAGTTTTGATACAATCTTAGAAATCATGAAGATACATCTTCTGATGTTAAACTATATAAAAATGAAAAAAAACCCAGTCCAGGTGCAACATTTATAAGTTTTTTTTTAAGTTCGAACTAGCAGAGCTACAGTTTCCTCAGAGACTTCCCGTTCATTGAGATAACTTAATATGCTTTCTTTCAAATCCATGTTTCTGGTTGCATGATCTTCATGACAACTGTCTCTTTTCTTTTTCAGTTGTAACTTTTCTTTAAAAGGAGTGTTTGAATTTATATGTTATTTTTATTTTTCCATTGCAGATGTTCACTGAAAAGTGAATGTGACATTCCTACGGCTACACACTGGGTTAATGGTCCGAATCCCAACGACAACTGTATAGCCATCCTGAACGTCTCCCCACCAATGGCTCATGTCTCCCAGGATATCACAGTAAGGAATACCATAAATTCATATCCCCTCCAAATGTGATAATTACATACTGCTTTAAAATGTTTTGTTTTAACCACAAACTCAAATCCCCCTAACCAGCAATTTTTCCTCAAACCATGAAAATTTAACTCCATGAAAATGTGTGCTTTTGCAGTATAAATTTAATGTCTGCATTGGCTTTAACTTTGTAATGGAGAATCACTAAGAGCTCATACTTGGTAGAGATTACTTATGAATTTCTCACTCAAAGTCAAAGGTTAGTTCAAGGTCTCTTGTATAATTTTTCCCCTCATGACCATCCCTAGCTCCTACCCATGCCCCCACACCCACCCAGCTTTCCCTGCACACACGAATCTATTCATGATTATATGAAGTGATCATCAAAAACTGAAAAAAAACACAATTATTTACAGCACAGTGGCAGTACATTCTGACCACAATTTCAGAAATCTCCAAAACACTCATTTTAAGTTACGTTGTAGATTGTTTAAAGACGTACAACACACTGGGGGAGATAACTCTTGCGATTTCAATTGACCGTTTGTCGTGACGTCAAATTTAACGTCAAAAATAAAGCGTCAAAACGACGAGTAAAACGATTCCGGTGTATATCAATCATGAAAGAAAATTGGGATATGGGGCTTGGCTTTGATTGCGCGTACCATACTCAATCAATAAGTATTTTTTAATTAACCCGATTAAACTCCGTAAAAAGCAAGACATAAAATACCATCCCTTAATGTTTATTTCATTTCATTTCATATACAATAAATTGTATTTTTGATCAAAGCGCAGCATTTTTTTTATTCTGAAAATTTTATTTTACATTGCCGAAATTCTCATTATGTACAATTGGCTATATAACACATGTAACATTCCGATTAATGGTCTTCATTACAATTTGAGCATACACGATATATAAATTGTTTTCCTTCTTCAATTCAATAAAACAACAATAAAGAAACATAAACTTTTTACAATGTAAAATCGACGTTGTTGTCAGACCCTTACTGATCAAAGAGGAACAACTCTGAAAATATAGGAGATTTTATTTTCCTCCGTTTTTTTCACGGTTTTCCACAGAATCAGATACATTTACAGCAAGACCTGATAAATCCGAGAATTGAATACTATAGACCTCATATACACAATGTAAGTATAGAATTGAAAAGAATTGTTCACTTGTACTGAAATTATCTGCATTGATGAATATCCTATAAGTATTGCAGCAAATCGTTTGACTTTCTGTCAACAATGTCGGTTCGCATTTCCTCGAATCAAAACAAAACGTAGCCTATACGATTTTAAAAAAATATCAAAGTGCGATTTGATATAAATTGAAATAGATGAAGAGTTTAATGTTTGATATTTTGAAGTTAATGTGGACGAATACGGAATTTTCATGCTAACTTTAGAAGCGACGACATTGAAAGAAATGCGTACAATATCGTGAGGGGTGTACATCTATGCAGATGTCGATGTATCCCCACGGCCACATACTGTCTCGTTTGAAATAATGACATGAAAGAAACTACAATTATTCCATTTATATCACAGGAGATTTAAACATACACCTTTTTTTTAATGAATAAAATCAAAGATATAAAATTAAAAATCGACATATTGAAGTTCAACAAAACTTAAACTCGTATCCAGGTTTCATGTGATATGGAATGCATAACGCATACATATATGGACTAAACACGAAAATCCTTCAGTATTTTTTTTCCTGATACATATAAAAAGAGTAGTCAATATTTATTCTGCATTCATTAATTTAAGAACTAATGCATACCTCCCGGATTCAAATGACGAAATACCAGTATATTTGCACTGTAAACGACGTTTCGTCAAACGCTATTGGTCTGCAATGCAATAAAGGAAGGGGTGGGGATGGTAGGGGTATTAAAAATTGCCTAAAAATCTACATTTAAATATGCTTTACATATGAGAACTTTTAAATTTGTAAGTTAATATATTTTTGAAGCAAAAGCAATATTCCAATTTATTTTTTTTAATGTGTATTTGTAGATTCATATAACAAAGTGATTGACCCCCGTCTGAAAGACGCGCGGGAACGTGATTTATTGAGAAAGGGGGAGGGGGTAATTTTCCGCTATTAAATCAAAACTGGTCGTACAAAAAATTATGAAGATTTTTTTACCACCAGCTACCTAAAGAAAGTTTTTTACCACAATTAAACGACAGGTTTTTTCACAAAAAAATTTTGAATTTGAAAAATATGCAATTTTCAAGGCTTAGATAATTCATAGTTTTTCAGTTTAAGGTCTTTAAAAAAATTATTTTGATGATATGTATATCAAAAAGATGACTATGTTTTTGTGTTAAATGGTTAAAGGAATAAGCCAATGAAATTTGACATTGATATCTAACCTGGCTTTTTTGAAAATCAAGGTTTAAGTAGTTCATTGATTAAAAATTTTCTCTCCTCGTAAACAACTAAAGGGGGGTAACTTTTGGAAGTTCCTGTCCAAAAACCACTCGAACGATTTTGTCCAAAATGTGCATACATACAGTAGATATAGTCATGTACTAAATATACAAAAATAACGAAAATTAAACGACAGGAATTTTTTGGGGTAGGTGTGTTGTACATCCTTAAATATAATTTTTGTTTTTATAGCTGTATTTAACAGTCCATAGGAACCTACCTAGAGATGACAACACCACGTACAACTGTGTGTTTAGTTTTCCTAGCGGGGATCAGAAAATCTCCCCAGCGGACCTAAAGAGTTACGGGATAGAGTGTCAGAACCCTAATGTAAACGACCTTAGTCTGACCTTCAGCAGTACTCTGGGTAAAAGTTTAATTTAAAATCTATCATAAGTGAATTATACTATCATAGTATGTATTGTTTTGCAAGATGTTTAGAACCATATCTACATGTATAATTCAATATATGTATTGTTTTCAAGATGTTACTACATGTATTATCCTTAAACCTTTATATTTAACAAAAGTTTAGCATATTATAACTCCTTGAACTTTAAATATGAAGGGAAAAAGTGCTTCAGTTATCAGAAGTATGAAAAGTCATGCATGCACACAGATGTGTTTATCGATCTGTACATGAATGTTTGAAGTGTTTGAACCATGTTTCCTCATGCTGTCTACAAGCACTAATTGTAGTGTTGTTCTGTTTTTTGTAGGACACGTCAACATAAGTCTGGGTATACAGTGTGTACAGACAGGACAGGTTATTGTGTCAACACCCTATCTCCTCTACAAGTGTAGCAGCTTCTCCAGGTAATATAGGCACCTTGAATAAAAAAAGTGGTGAATTAAATTCTATATCAAATGAAGGATTGTTCTGTATGTTATGAATCTGGAGCGGGACTTAAAGTGATAGTGCTATGACATTATGATGGGATCACAAAGGTGCAATGCTAAGATGACAATTAAGAAATTTTCACTACAGCCCCATTGCATTATTGCACCATTGTTATTGCATTGTTGCACAAATACATCATCAGCATTGCACTGTTGCATCATCATCGCACCCTCATTTCATTGCCATTGCAGCATTGGCTATCATACCTTTAATAAATGCTTGAAAGTGGGATTGTAAACTATGTGGCCTTATCCAGTTCCCATAGTATGTCAGTATACTTATGCTGTTTTGAATATACCATTTAGAGTTTTGCAATTTTTCAGCTGTTCGCGGTGTGTTGACAACGTTTACTGGTGTGACTGGTGCATCACAGAAAACAAGTGTCAGTACAACACAGAGCAGTGTTCTGGAGAGAAGGTCAGCAGTCGAAATGTACGTATTGTATATTGTCTCTAAAAGAAAATTATTAGGCAGGTAGAAAAGCAAGAAAATAGGTGGGAGTGGGTGGTAGAATGCCCGGATTTGTAACTAATTTGAAAATTATAATATTGTTTCCCTTAAATTGGCTATGGCACTTCGTTTAGGAACTTTTTATTCTGTTTATCTACATTTGTACCTTTTAATTTAGCCCTGCTTTAAATTTTAGAATTGAATATAGAGATCATGTTTAGATACAGCGATTTTTTTTCTGGGCAAACTCATGCCAGAAGCTCAAAAGAAAATTTGCTGCTGAAATGATATGTTTAATAAATGGGCTTTGTTCATTGTGTTTCATTTAAAGTTCTGACAGCTGTTAATTAAAAAAAAATGTTTAGAATTGTACAATGTATGACACCATTTTCAGGATACTTATGTACAAAACAACACAGAGTATATTGTAAGTTACGTTGCTATATATAGTATATAGATCTGCCTTTATCAAACTAACGGCCTGCATCTGTTTCTATAATTAGCCTTATTTTTCCACTTCATGTAACTTTTCACCATTGAGAACGCCAGCATCACTGATAAAATACAACATGTAAATTTCCAAAGGTTATGCATAATACTGATAAATTCCAAGAATATCATTGTTATCAGTTATACAGATGATATGTTTATGTAGCTATCAATCTTCTTTTTTGCAATAGAGCTCTTTGTTTTTGTCTGCACTTCTACATGTGACAGTCGCCTTCCGTTTGACCATGCATTTTATTTCTAGGCAGCTATAGATGCTGAAGTTTCAACAGAATGATTTTTTTTTTCTTCTTATTTTTTCTTTTTCAACTACTATAACATGTAGAATGTGCACATATTAAAAATTCCATTACAAGTCACGTATGTATGCTCCTTATTAATAATAATTAAGATCTGTAACTGATGAACTAGATTTCTTTTCTGCAATGCTTATACTGTTGGTTACAACAAACAGAGACCATGCAGTAATTAAGACATGATGCAAAAAATTTCAAAAAAAAAAGATACTGGCGTATTGCAGACATTTTTGTGTATTGCAGTCTTCGCTGACTTACCTGTAAAATTCTTCTAATGTGTGAAATTTTTAATTTGAGACATAATACCTTTGTATTTGAAAAAAAATTTTATGCTAGCTGTTGGTTAAAATTTCAAAGGATTTATGTACAGTAAAACTCTTTTACATGTATGAAGAAGTCACTGGGACCTATGATATTACCTCGCTACATGATCCATACTTTGTTAAATCCATATAGGGAGTTTGTTAGATTTATATATCTGGGGGATCCAAAATAACTTAGCTATATCCATAAATTCGCGTGTTCATACTGAACAAGTTTAACCGTAGAGTGATTTTTATTTCAATGAATATTTTCTTTAAGGATTGGAGGTTGTTTTGGTAGCTCTGGTCTTAGGTCTGTGCATTTCATGCCTTCTTTAGGAATCTTTTGAACAGTTTGTTTCTTCCACTAGATCTGCTTTCTTCTTTGTGAACTTGTAACTTACTTTTGGTGAAGCTTACCTAGTACAGGGGTCACCTGCTATGACTTTTTCACTCACTGTTTTATTAGCATTGTTTTGTACATAATTTTCATTGCTTGTAAAGAGAAGCATCTGATTTCATATTGAGTTCGATTTTTGCCTGGAAAAAGTCTTCTTTTTTTTAACTTTCAACTAATTAGGACATTGTATGGAATACTTGTTTTACACTACACTCTACTTGATACACATTTGAAAATACACCTGACTACTTCTCTGTGGTATATAATTAATATCATACACTTCATTACTTTTCAGTGTGATAAACATGATACACTTGATTATATCCCTGTGTTAATATCAGAGTTTTCTGTGTGATACACATTTTTAGCTCACCTGAGCCGAAGGCTCAAGTGAGCTTTTCTGATCACATTTTGTCCGTCGTCCGTCCGTCCGTCTGTCTGTCCGTCCGTCCGTCTGTAAACTTTTCACATTTTCGACTTCTTCTCAAGAACCAATGGGCCAATTTTAATCAAACTTGGTACAAAGCATCCTTGGGTGAAGGGGAGTTTAAATTGTAAAAATGAAGGGCCGAGTCCCCTTACCAGGGGAGATAATCAAGAAAAAACAAAAATAGGGTGGGGTCACAAAAAAATCTTCTTCTCAAGAACCACTGGGCCAGGAAAGCTGAAACTTATGTGGAAGCATCCTTGGGTAGTGTAGATATTAAATTGTTAAAATCATGACCCCCGGGGGTAGGGCGGGGCCACAATAGGGAATCCCATTTTTACATAAAAATATATAGAACAAATCTTCAAAATCTTCTTCTCAAGAACCACGGTGCCAGAAAAGCTGAAACTTATGTGGAAGCATCCTTGGGTAGTGTAGATATTAAATTGTAAAAATCATGACCCCCGGGGGTAGGGCGGGGCCACAATAGGGAATCCAAGTTTTACATAGAAATATATAGAACAAATCTTTAAAAATCTTCTTCTCAAGAACCACTGGGCCAGGAAAGCTGAAACTTATGTGGAAGCATCCTTGGGTAGTGTAGATATTAAATTGTAAAAATCATGACCCCCAGGGGTAGGGCGGGGCCACAATAGGGAATCCCAGTTTTACATAGAAATATATAGAACAAATCTTTAAAAATCTTCTTCTCAAGAACCACTGGGCCAGAAAAGCTGAAACTTATGTGGAAGCATCCTTGGGTAGTGTAGATATTAAATTTCTAAAATCATGACCCTTGGGGGTAGGACGGGGCCACAATAGGGAATCCAAGTTTTACATAGAAATATATAGAACAAATCTTTAAAAATCTTCTTCTCAAGAACCACTGGGCCAGGAAAGCTGAAACTTATGTGGAAGCATCCTTGGGTAGTGTAGGTATTAAATTGTAAAAATCATTACCCCCGGGGGTAGGGCGGGGCCACAATAGGGAATCCCAGTTTTACATAGAAATATATAGAACAAATCTTTAAAAATCTTCTTCTCAAGAACCACTGGGCCAGGAATGCTGAAACTTGTATGGAAGCATCCTTGGGTAGTGTAGATATCAAATTGTTAAAATCATGACCCCTGGGGGTAGGGCGGGGCCCCAATAGGGAATCCATGTTTTACATAGAAATATATAGAACAAATCTTTAAAAATCTTCTTCTCAAGAACCACTTGGCCAGGAATGCTGAAACTTATGTGGAAGCATCCTTGGGTAGTGTAGATTCTAAAGTTTTAAAATAAAAAAGGGAAGGGGGTTGTTGGGCATGACAGGTGTAGCAAGAGGGGGAATCTGGTAAAGATCTGCATCACCCAAGTTACTCAGGTGAGCGATGTGGCCCATGGGCCTCTTGTTTGATGATACAATTTCTTATATCTCTGTCATATATAGGAAATACATTTATGATGATTTATTTGCTTAATACACCTCTTTGGGAATTATGATACACTTGTATCATTGTGCCCTAGCTTAATTTTTGGTCTATAATATTCAGTCAACTTTATTCACCTACCTCTCTATGATATACAATTATTATGATACATATCTAATGTTCCATGATATGTACATGTATGATGATACATTAATTTGATTATATCTCTGTATGATCAATCACTTTCTGTATGCTTTCACATGTATGCTAACATTGTATGACTATATTGAAAATTTGAATTCCATTGAAGACACTGCAATTTTTGCCTGTTATCATGACTGGAAATATATTAATGTCTTACAAGATTTACTTGTACTTGTGTACCCAAATTAAGAAGCTGAGACTTTATTGAGGCCAAGGTCATTACAATTAATCGAGGTCAGAGGTCAACTTAACCCCTTACATGGCATATACGCCTTTCTACGCATCTGACTTGAAAAACGAGTATAGTGTGAAAAAACATTCATAACTTCGTTAATACTGCAAATATCAGAATAAATCTTGCACCATTGGAAAGAGAAAATGATTACGATAACGATAAAATAATATACAGATTTTTTTTTATTGGTTGTACCAGTTTTTTGCTGGCTTGAGTTAAACTTTGCGCACTATTTGAGTGATTTCGCCATTATCAAAATCAATACGGGGGTAACAGGCTATGTGTAAAAATGCTAAATTCTGGTGTTTACCTCCAAACCCCACCCCATCCCCACAAAATACTTAAAATTGGTTTGTAAAAAATGTACAACATGCTCATAATTTTTAACACAACTGTAAAATATTTTTTAATACATTTAACTAAGCAAAAAAACTAGAATGAAACTCATTCTGAACTAAATGGAAATTCCAGCATGATTATGGTGTATTTCGTTGCCATGGCAACTGAAAAGTTATTTTTATAATCATTTTCAGTAATTACACAATACCTGCTCTCAGAATATGTATACATTAGTATATACAAAAATTACAAGAAATACTCAGAAAAAGGCATTGAAATCTGAATACCAATTTATCTACAAATGCTTAAAATCTTTGCCATGGAAGGGGTTAATATCATATCAACAACTTTTATTAGATGGTGAAAACATTGGAAGCTCATGATTGAGAGTGGCTTAAACCCGAAGTACGGTAATTTATATGGGGTTTAAGAATGGAAAAGTATATGCTTGGCCAAAACATTGGAGGAAAATAACAAGACTTAAGCACAAAGTTTCATTAAGATCAGAGTTTGGGTATTAACCTTTCATCAGGGTCATCTTGACAAGATCAGTTGTTGAAAGTGTAAAATTTAGGTCCATATTGTAACTTAATTTGTTGTGCAGTAAGGCAAGATCATAGCTGAAGTTCATTTTGATGTTAAAATATGCATGGCTCTGTCACTAAGGTCGCAGTCTGGGGAAGGTCAAGGTCACATGATTCAGATGCTATGACACAATTTATTGTAAGGATTTTTGAAAGTCAAATACATGTAATACTTTCATACAGGAGACTAATATTTATTAATGACAATAAGTGGTGTTATACCTTTTATATAGGGAGTTTTAATAGGGATATGGAATGCTTCTTTCTTTAGATATTTTTAAGTATGCAGATTTTTTAATGGTTAACAGAAGGTTAGCAGCTTTAGGACTGTTCCTATATGCTGTTTTTTTTAAAAATGTTTGAAATAAATCTAAAGTCTAGACATTTAAAAAAAAAAGCAATGTTCTGATAGTTTCTTTGTTGATGTCTTGCAGGGTAATGAAGGCAAGAGAGGGAGGCAGTTTTGCCCGATGGTGGACAAAATTCAGACAGGCCCTCTGTTTATACCACAGGATCAATCCAAAATAATCATCATCCAAGGAAGAAATTTCCCTGAACCAGTATGTAGTCAAGTCATTTGTACACAAGAAATATGGTAGATAATCATGTTCTTGTATATTTTAACAGTAATACTCAGTAAAACTACTTGATGCAATCACATTCACACAGTATAAAACCTTAGATGTATTAGATGATGCAGTTTTAACTTAATCATATGCCTTCTGACATTCACTCAACACTGAGAAGCAGGTTTTCTTGAACAATCCTTCCTTACTGCATTGATGAATTTTTTGACAGGATGAATACAGTGGAAAAATCTACCTACCGTCATCTCAGACTCTGAATGTGCCTGGAACAAGGATATCAGCCACACAATTAACCTTTAATATTGAAAAGGTATCTACAGTCAGTATTGATACAGAGAAAGGCTTTAATTTTGATTCAGCAAAGAAGTACAGTAGTTGTTCTTGCTACATGCCAAGACATGTTGTGCATAAATTATATCAATTATCCACTTTGAAAATTTGTACAAGAGAAAGAATGTAATTAAATACCAAATAATTCAATTTGAAGAATTGTATTTTTGTTTTTCAGCACTTTTCTATAGGAAATTTGGAATCATTTCTCACATTGAAATATGTTACTTAAATGCAACTCAAAATTTTCAGATCAATGCAGCTATACCAGATGGAAGGTTTGGTGCAACTATGAGTGTTTTGTGGACCAATCAGAAATTTGTCATTGAAAATGATGGACTTGAAGGTAGGTGTAAGAGAATCTCTCATCAGTAACCTTATCTACTGAATTATAATGTAGAAGAAAGAATTAAAATGTAGAGGAAAAATAAAGCCAGAAAATTAGGTTAATAGCAAAGCAAGAGACTAATAAATGTATAAATATATAATGAACTAATTTGTTTTTAGCTCACATAAGCTTTTCTGATCACCTGTCGTCAGTCATCCATCCGTCCATCTTTTCTCACTTTCAACTTTTTCCAAAGAACCACTGGGCCAGTTTTAACCAAAATTGGTAAAAGCTTCCCTTGAGAGAAAAGGAGTTTAATATTCAGAAAAAGGACCCATCCCCCTTAAAAGCTTTAAAGGGGAGGTAATCAAGAAAAGACAACAAATAGGGAAGTGTCATTTAAAAAAATCTCAGTAACCACTAGACCAGAAAAGCTGAAACATATGTTGAAGCTTCCTGAGGTACTGTTGATTCTAAATTATTTAAATTTTGGTTGAAGTGGGGCTACAATAGGCAATCAAAGTTTTTCAAGGGGGGAAACATATGGGGGAAAAAAAGCAATGCCAAAGTTACCCAGGTGAGCATGGTGGCCCATGGGCCTTTAGTTTTTAGTTTACAATTTGTAAGTCATTTGCTTTGTTTTAGTGACTCTGTATAGCTGTAGTGGGCAGGCTAGAGGTGACTGTAGCTTTTGTAAGAACCTGGAAGAAACTTATCCAGACATGAACTGTAAATGGTGTCAAGGGCAGTGTGTCTACAGGCAGCAACCCTGTCCACAATCCAGATGTCCAGGACCCAATGTCACCAGTGTAAGTGTGGCAACCAGTGTTAGTGTGGAAATATGTAGTGTAAAATGACCCAGTGTCACCATCACATAGTGTTATATCAATCTAATGTCACCAGAGTAAGTGAATCTTCATGTAGGGGGTGGGTGTGGGGGGTATTTTATGCAGTTCAAAGCTCACTGTATATTGACAAGTGTATTAAAATTTCTTCAACATGTAAATGAGCAATTTTACAGTACTCTTATGAGTAAGGAGTAACCTAAACATAATCCATGACCTTTTGACCTTAGGTTAAGTTATATTCCATATCCCCTACATTCCTTTCTTTAAGTAAAATCCATTTTACTAGGATACTAATTGAAAACCTTCTTTTTCTAGCAAGAAGCATCATACTGTAGTTCTATTTTATATAAATTTTATACAACTAAACAGATAAATTGTATTACTGATTACAGGGAAATAGCCAAATTAATAATTAATTTCGCAATTTAAGATTTGGAAGTGACTGTTTCAAATATTTTTTCTTTAATTTAATATTCTAACTGCTCAATTTCATGTTAACTTGATAGTTTAATGTATATTCATCTGTATACTTCTGCATATTATGAAATTTGTAAAATTTATATTTTTTTACAGTTGACACCCAATACTGGCCATTTCTTGGGAGGTACAGTTGTCACAATCACAGGGTCCAATCTCGGAATTAAATTTGCTGACATTGAGAACAATGTGACCATAGCAGGCATTGCTTGTAACACAACAGCAAGAAGGGATGATTATCTAGCATCAAAAAGGTTAGTTGATGTTTGATTTGGAGGTAATTAAAACTGTTGATCTTAAGAATCAGATGAGTTTAAGGGCAAGTCGTAGGGATGATTCTTCCTTGCCTTAAAAGAAATTGTTAATGAATACATATTATTTCAACAAATCTGCACTGTATTTTATAAGTATGTCAGATATTAACAATTCCAACTATATGATGATTGTCACACATGTACATATAGTAAAAGAGACTGTTTTTAAAAAAAAATGTGATATCTATATTTATGTGGTGATTTATTAATAACTTTATCAGAATCCGCTGTGTGACGGGGGGTAGGAGTGGAGAGGGGAGCGGTCCTATCAAGATACTGGGGGTCACGCTAAACAAATGTATCTACTCCTATAAGGTAAACACTTAACCAAAGCATTTATGTATTTAAAAAAAAAATTAATTCCTTGGTGACTTTAAAGTTTTATGTGCATTTGTGACTTTTGAATTTTGAACAGACTCCAATGATAACTGGAATTCAACCTAAATTTGCGGCGGAGTCTGGTGGCAGAATTGTGCATCTAAGGGGAGGTAACCTGAACATTGGGAATGGCCCTAAAGTTACCATCAACAATGACACCTGCTTGGTTATTAGGCAAGCATTCAATTTTTTCCCCATTTCTTCTCTTCATCATTCATGCAGTCAAAACCATTTAAATCTTTACTAAATATTATGAAGTATTTTCCTTGAATTAACTTTTTTGCTGAGTTATAGAGAACACAATATATACACTGTATGTGAAATCTTTTAATAGTCTGTGTTAGACAAAAAATGCCATATTAATGACATGTATCCTTAATCCTGATGAGCTTAATTTGTGTTGACTTATTTGCTTTAATGGTCGACAACTAAATGGGCTTATGTGATGAGAAAATCTTCCTCCATCTATCTGTCTGTTTTGAAACAATTTATCATAACACTGCTACAATTCTTCAATAGTTCTGGACTGATTTCAGTAAAATTTGGCACACAAATTGACAACACCATAGATACCAAGAAAGAACATATAACAAGAACATCCATGAAAATGTAATGTCTTCTACAATTTCAGTTACATTTCAATTAAATTTGTACATGAAACCCAGATTATACTTAAAACCTATGGATGTATCATAATTTTAATGTCAGTTGGGCAAGTTCAAGGTCATTTTGTAAATATACATTCACTTTCAATATACAAGTTTAAGGTCACTTAAAAGAATATTGTTAGAACCTTGAGTCTGGTCATTTTGACAATTTCAAGGTCACTTGAAAAAGAATTTAATCTGAGTTTGGTCTATATTTTGGGATTGGTAAAAATTGCAAATGGTATAACTTGTGAGCTTGCTCACAGTACTTCTGGATTAAAGTTTAAGACCCTGTCAGAGTTTTTAGTGCCATTAGGACATTTATCATTTTGATCAAAAAGGTTGATTTTATTTCATAACTCAGCAAAAACAGAGCTGCAAAGAGATTGTGCAGCATGAGGAAACATAAAGATATTTTAATATTTTGTTGTGTTTTACAGTAAAAACATGACTGTCATTTCCTGTATTGTGCCTGCTGGCAGTATGGGTGTGGCTAATGTCTCCGTCCACATTGACGGTAACCCCGTGGATACCACCACCAGTAATTTCTCGTATGTGGATGACCCCACTATACAGAATATTTATCCAGTTCCTCTCTCCTCCTTTGAAAGGTAAGAGGTTTCACAGGAGAATTCAAATTTGACATATGTACATGTAGCAGTAGCTGATGTTACTTGTGTGCATATGCAGGGAATATGTATTTGTTAGTGACAAGTCTGGAAAATAAATGTGAGAATGATTGTCTACTATACAACAATGGATATAATCAATTTGAAAGTTTAAACAGACAGAGAGAAACAATTACATTCAAGTTTACTATTATTCAAAATTATATAAACTGTTAACTGCCTTTATTATTGATTTAAGAATTGCTGAAATTATTTGATAAATTTACTATTTCTATGTACTTAAGGTTGAAATACAATTTTTCCACCTGTTTTACAGCGGAGGAAGAAAATTGACGATAAATGGAACTAACTTTGACGCCATCGACAGTGCATTTATGTTTGTTATTTATGGGGATGGAACATACTCCAAAAACGAGGTTAGAAGAAATTTTTGAAGTATCGATCACTAATGCATAAATTAATTCACCATTTAAAATGCATATAGAAGTAAAAAACATAGACTTAAAAATTCTTTATTCCAGACCTGCAGTATCAAGAATGAGACGACCATTTTTTGTTGGACCCCCGAGAGCCAGACTCGCACAACGCCGGTCGCTTTTGACACGGACACAGAGGATGAACCAAGCAATGGAACAGAGAGGGGTACCCTGTTACAGATGATTCAGATGAAGCCAGTATTACTAAAACGAGCCAGACGGAACCCCCAGGTCAACTCGGCCCAGCTGGGTTTCTACATGGACAATGTGCCCTCGGTACAGGATCTTAAGACCTATTTCCCTAGTGTTCAATCAACACTGTTCTATGCTCCAGATCCTGTAATTCTAGACTTTGAAGAGAATGACAGGATGAAAGCTTACACCCAAGGCATTGTGTTGGAAATCAAGGTTTGTAGAATGAGATTACAGGTTTCTTAACTTAATCTTGGTCTGTTTTTGCTGCTCTTTCTTGTGGAAGATAAGGAGCAGTCATATTTTGTGTGTTTGTTAGGTCACCTGAGTAAACTCAGGTGACCTATTGCTATCCGTTTTCGTCCGTCATCGTTCGTCCTGCGTTAACATTTGAATATTTTCAGCTTCTCTGAAACCACTGAACCAATTTCAACCAATTTTGGCATATAGCATCTATCAGTGAAGGGGAACAAAAATTGGATTTCAAGGTCCCTGCCCCCCTGAGGGGTGGGGCCAAAACCACTAAATTTAGTGCAATCTTTAAAAATCTTCTTCTTTACTCCTGGACATCAAGCAGTCAAACTGTTGGCATGATTGTTATCAGCATTAAGTCCTCTACCAAAATTGTGAAATTCATGGCCCCCCCAGGGTCAGGGGTTCTAGTGCTAGGGCAGGGCTATATTCATTATATAGTGAAAATGCATTATTACTTTGAAAATCTTCTTCTCTGCTCCTGGGTATCAAATAAAGTAACTAAGTACGTAGTAATGATGAGCAAGAGTGGACCCACCAAAATTGTGAATTTTATGGCCACAGGGTCAAGGGTTCTAGTGCTAGGGCGGGGCTCTATTGATTATATAGTGAAAATGCATTAATTCTTTGAAAATCTTCTTCTCTGCTCCTGAGTATTAGATAAACTAACTTAGTACATAGTTATGATGAGCAAGAGGGCCTCTTCTAAATTTGTGAATTTTATGGCCCCAGGATCAGGGGTTCTGGTGATAGTGCGGGGCTCTATTGATTATATAGTGAAAATGCATTAATTCTCTGAAAATCTTCTTTTCTACTCCTGAGTATTAAATAAACTAACTAAATACATAGTAATGATGAGTAAGAGTGCCTCTTTTAAAATTGTGAATTTTAGGGCCCCAGGGTCAGGGGTTCTGGTGATAGGGCGGGGCTCTATTGATTTTATAGTGAAAAATGCATTAGTTCTTTGAAAATCCTTTGCTTTGCTTTTGGGTATTAATTAAAATAACTAAGTTCATAGTTATAATGAGTAAGAGTGCCTCTTTTAATATTGTGAATTTTAGGGTCCCAGGATCATGGGTTTTTGTGTTAGGGTGGGGCTCTATTGATTATAGAGTGGAAAATGCATGAATTCTTTGAAAATCTTTTTCTGTGCTCCTAGGTATTAAATAAACTAAGTTAAATAAACTAAGTACTAAGTACATAGTTATGATGAGCAAGAATGCCTCTACCAAAATTATGAATTTCATGGCCCCAGGGTCATGGGTTCTGGTGGGGCTCTATAATGATTATATAGTGAAAATACATTAATTCTTTGAAAATCTTCTTCTCTACTCCTGGGTAATAAGCTGATGAACTACATGTACCTATATAGTTATGATGTGCAGGGGTTCTTCTTCCAGAATTGTGAATTTCCAGGCCCTGGGTCAGGATACCATGGGAGGGGTCTCTACTTAAATACTGAAAATGAATTGTTTGAAATCTGCTCCTTGGTATTAATCAAACATTTTTGATAAGCAAGTGTGCCTTCTCAAAAATTGTGTAATGTGTGAACCTAGGGTCAGGGGTTCATGTGTGGTAGGGGCACTTCTGATTATTGCTGAATATTACTGATTAGTTGATATGCATTTTTTGTTCCCCTACCCTGCCTATGGGTATTAAGGAGGCTAAGTAACTAAACTAAGCAATTGCTAAGTTCATATTTATGATTAGCATTGGTGCCAGCCTCTTTCAAAATTGTGAATGCTGTAGCATCTATCTTAAAACATGAACCAAATTTTATCATTTGAAAGTTGTTGCATGATTCTCAGGTGACGTATAAAGCCCATGGGCCTCTTGTTTGTCTAATTATTACTTTGTAATGTTTTCACTAGGTCAAATTTTTGTATTACATGTCAGGTTTTTACTATACAATCGTTTGCTCAAAGATACATGTAAAATTACCTTCATTTAAATTCTCTTTTTATTACAGGGAAGGCGATTGAATGCTGCGGCCACTAGAGAGGACGTAGAGGTGTTTGTGGGGGTGGGGCGGTGTAACGTGACCAGTGTTAATGAGGAAGCTATCTACTGTAACCCTCCCACTGATCAACCCGCTCTACGAGACGACGGAAGTCAGCGATCAGACGGAATCCCACGTGTGTTTGTAAGTTAGGTTTTGCAGTCGTTTATTGCAGAAAGAAATCGTTCTTGGAGTGCTGGTAATCTTATCACACCAAGTGACCTTATAAGGTATTTACATGTATTCCAAGAAATATTGGCTACATTGATGTATATTTTGTATGTTTATTGTCAATTAAAGAACTTAAAGAATGAAAAATAGGATTAAGATACAAGCAGACAAATTGTCAACAGCATTCTTTTTTATGTTAATTGGGGCATTTTGTGGTATGTTTTTTTATAGGTCAAGTTTGGAAACCTAGAGAAGATGGTGGGGTTCCTGAAGTACAAAGAAGCAGAGGAGCAGAACCTGATGGTGTATATTGTCCCTGCCCTCCTGGGAACGGCGGGGGTCATCGTCATCATTGTATTAGTGGTTTGTTGGAAATTCCGCAAGCAACAAAAGAATGCAGAACGTGAATACAAGAACATACAGCTCCAACTGGATAACCTGGAGAGTACCGTTAGAAACGAATGTAAACAAGGTGAGTCAGGGTCAAGTGTGTGTTTCATATGTGTATCATGATTGCTTAAAAAATCACATTTTTATGGGGCCAGCTTTTGGTGGTTTGAGGGAAAATGTAAATTTGTAAAGATGAAGAATGGTAGAGTAGGACCTCTTCAAACCTGGAAAACAACAAAAATTGAGCCCCCCCCCCCCCCCCCACACACACACACACAAAAATTAGTGATTTAACGTATTATTATTTTATGTAAGCTTTTACACAATGATTGAAGCCTATATTAATTTATTTTTTATACAAAGTCATCAATATTCCTTGCATCTTTTGTCAAACTTTTTAGCTCACCTGAGCTGAAAGCTCAAGTGAGCTTTTCTGATCACCCGGTGTCCGTCGTCCTCCGTCCGGTCTGTCCGTCCGTATCCGTCCGTCTGTAAACTTTTCACATTTTCAACTTCTTCTCAAGAACCACTGGGCCAATTTTAACCAAACTTGGTACAAAGCATCCTTGGGTAAAGGGGAATTTAAATTGTTAAAATCAAGGGCCAAGACCCCTTCCAAGGGGAGATAATCAAGAAAATACGAAAATAGGGTGGGGTCATTAAAAAATCTTCTTCTCAAGAACCACTGGGCCAGAAAAGCTGAAATTTATGTGGAAGCATCCTGGGGTAGTGTAGATATTAAATTGTTAAAATCATGACCCCCGGGGGTAGGGCGGGGCCACAATAGGGAATCCCAGTTTTACATAGAAATATATAGAACAAATCTTTAAAAATCTTCTTCTCAAGAACCACTGGACCAGAAAAGCTGAAACTTATGTGGAAGCATCCTTGGGTAGTGTAGATATTAAATTGTAAAAATCATGACCCCCGGGGGTAGGGCGGGGCCACAATAGGGAATCCAAGTTTTACCTAGAAATATATAGAATAAATCTTTAAAAATCTTCTTCTCAAGAACCACTTGGCCAGGAAAGCTTAAACTTATATGGGAGCATCCTTGGGTAGTGTAGATATTAAATTGTTAAAATCATGACCTCCGGGGGTAGGGCGGGGCCACAATAGGGAATCCAAATTTTACATAGAAATATATAGAACAAATCTTTTAAAAATCTTCTTCTCAAGAACCACTGGGCCAGGAAAGCTGAAACTTAAGTGGAAGCATCCTTGGGTAGTGTAGATATTAAATTGTTAAAATCATGACCCCTGGGGGTAGGGCGGGGCCACAATAGGGAATCCAAGTTTTACATAGAAATATATAGAACAAATCTTTAAAAATCTTCTTCTCAAGAACCACTAGGCCAGGAAAGCTGAAACTTATGTGGAAGCATCCTTGGGTAGTGTAGATATTAAATTGTAAAAATCATGACCCCCGGGGGTAGGGCGGGGCCACAATAGGGAATCCAAGTTTTACATAGAAATATATAGAACAAATCTTTTAAAAATCTTCTTCTCAAGAACCACTGGGCCAGGAAAGCTGAAACTTAAGTGGAAGCATCCTTGGGTAGTGTAGATATTAAATTGTTAAAATCATGACCCCCGGGGGTTGGGCGGGGCCACAATAGGGAATCCAAATTTTACATAGATATATATAGAACAAATCTTTTAAAAATCTTCTTCTCAAGAACCACTGGGCCAGGAAAGCTGAAATTTATGTGGAAGCATCCTGGGGTAGTGTAGATATTAAATTGTTAAAATCATGACCCCTGGGGGTAGGGCGGGGCCACAATAGGGAATCCAAGTTTTACATAGAAATATATAGAACAAATCTTTAAAAATCTTCTTCTCAAGAACCACTTAACCAGGAAAGCTGAAACTTATGTGGGAGCATCCTTTGGTAGTGTAGATATAAAATTGTTAAAATCATGACCCCCGGGGGTAGGGCGGGGCCACAATAGGGAATCCAAGTTTTACATAGAGATTTATTGAACAAATCTTTTAAAATCTTCTTTTCAAGAACCACTAGGCCAGGAAAGCTGAAACTTATCTGGAAGCATCCTTGGGTAGTGTAGATATTAAATTGTTAAAATCATGACCCTCGGGGACACACACACACACAATAAATCCAAGTTTTACATAGAAATATATATAGAACAAATCTTTTAAAAAGATCTGCATCACCCAAGTTACTCAGGTGAGCGATGTGGCCCATGGGCCTCTTGTTCATTTTTATTTATGTTTATCTCAATCAAACACTTGAAGTATTGTACATTTTGTGTGTCTCTTTTGTAGCGTTTGCAGAGTTACAGACAGACATGACGGACCTGACGACGGACCTGGAGGGCAGTAAGATGCCGTACTATGATTACGAGGAGTACACCTTCAGGGTCCTGTTCCCGGGGATGGTGGATCACATCATACTGCAGCCCCCTCAGGTAAACACAAAATACCTGTATAAGTGTGAGCATGAGATAAAATCTTTGTCCAATACCATGTTAACTTTAAGTCCCTTGCAGTTATTTCAATTCATTAGAATGTTGTAAAATCTGGAATTTTGTCTAATTTGGTCAATTTCTTAAGAACCATTGGTGATCTATTTACATGTACACAAGTTTTACAGTATTGTGCTGCTACATGTACACTGCATAAATGCATTTAAAAATCTATAGATACATTAATTGGGTTCAGATCGTTAAATGATTTATGTTTTGTAACCAATTTTTACATTTAAATCTGAGTATCTCATTATACAAGAACATTCTAACATGTTTGACATTTTAAGCAGAGGAATGGTACTACAGACAGACATCCAGACGTGGCCATCTCTCACTTCAGACAGCTGCTAAACAACAAACACTTCCTGTTGATGTTTATACGAACACTGGAGAAACAGAAGACATTCAGCATCAGGGACAGGTGGGGCGGGGCTAGAAGTAGAATTCCTTATATAAATTTTTGTTACCTGTAAAACCTTCTATGCATTAGTTTTGATATATTATATGAAAGTGAAATGAATTTATTTTGCTGTTTATGTGTGTTAAGGGTACACTTGCTCAATTTGATATGAATGGTTTAAAATTGGATGTACATTGTAAATTCCACTTGCTAAATTGCACAAACGGTATAGACATGTACATGGACTTAAGGTTGTATGGTATTTGTTTCTGAAGTTAAATATCAGACTAGTGTAGATAAAAGATTTCGTTTCTCTGTATTTTCAGAGCCAATGTGGCCTCTCTGTTGATGATTCTCTTCCAGAACAATATGGAGTATATAACACAGTGAGTACCGTCATGTTAAAATATTTAAATGATAAATATTTACTTACAACTGGATCTCACATATATCTGATATAGAGAATAATCCCCTGCTTCAGGCAAGTAGACAGTAATAATAAAAAAAATAGGTGAAGAGAATTGAGGCATTTGTTTTTATGTCAGAGACAAACCATTGTCAGAGATAGAAAATATATCTCTGACAATAAGCATATGTCTTTTGAAGAGTTATCTTTCTTAAGTTATAGGTTATGTTTTGGTTTCCACCAAAATTTAATAAGCTTTAAGATAATTCTTCAAATAACTGTTCTTGTAGGGAGAGGGCGTTATAAGTATTCAGTACTTGTGCTCAATCCCTTTGTAATTATATTACAATAAAATATGTTCAAATCAACTGTTCTTGATGTGTGCTGAAAAAACTTTTTCTTTTGCAGAATCTTGAAGGCTTTACTAAATGATCTGATAGAAAAAAGTATAGAGACCAAAAGAACAAAGATCATGTTAAGGAGGTGTGTAGTTATTTAGTCGATCATTCTCAATAAATTCAATCAGGCATAAAATTATAAAGTCATCAAATGTCTAAGAGAACAGAATGCAAGTTGCAAGAAATTGTGGATTCTTTCTTGAGAACGTGTTAAATATAGGATGGTGAATAGTTACCATGTTCTTTTTTTTGAACACTTTCAACAAAGCAATTAAATTTTGCACTTTGTAAACAAACATTTAAAACTTTCCCCACCTGATTTTAAGCTTAGGAGTAAAAGTCATGCTAAAGACATTTCATCATGCACTTAAATTATATGAATTAAAATATACAACTCTGAGTTTATGAAAAGCTATAGACATTATGCCTTGATTTGCCTTTGTCATTAACTATATACCAAATGACAGCTAGATATATGTCTGTTACAGGACAGAGTCAGTAGTGGAGAAGCTGCTAGCTAACTGGCTGTCCCTGTGTATGTATCGGTACCTCCGGGAGGAGGCAGGTGCCTCCCTCTACACGCTGTATCAGTCCATCAAGTTCCAGGTGGACAAGGGCCCCGTAGACTGCATCACCTGCGAGGCCCGCTACTCCTTGTCTGAGGACAGGCTCCTCCGCACAGAGAAACAGCTAGAGTATAGTGTGCTCGTAAGTATCTACAGACAGACAGACAGCCAGAGTATAGTGTGCTCATAAGTATCTACAGACAGACAGACAGCTAGAGTATAGTGTGCTCGTAAGTATCTACAGAGAAACAGCTAGAGTATAGTGTGCTCGTAAGTATCTACAGAGAAACAGCTAGAGTATAGCGTGCTCGTAAGTATCTACAGAGAAACAGCTAGAGTATAGCGTGCTCGTAAGTATCTACAGAGAAACAGCTGGAGTACAGCGTGCTCGTAAGTATCTACAGAGAAACAGCTAGAGTATAGCATGCTCATAAGTATCTACAGACAGACAGACAGCTAGAGTATAGTGTGCTCATAAGTATCTACAATTAAATAGCTGGAGTAAAGTGTGCTTGAAAGTATCAACAGACAGAGAAACAGCTAGAGTATAGTGTGCTCGTAAGTATCTACAGACAGCTGCAGTAAAGTGTGCTTGTAAGTACAGTGTGTCTGCAGACAGAAAAACTGCTGGAGTATATCATGCTTTTAATTATCTACAGACAAACAGCTAGAGTATAGCATGCTCATAAGTAGGGACTATTAAATATTGAGAACTGGTAATATTATTTATGAACTTCATGTATTAAAACTTAAAGATGCACATAGCAATAGGGAAATTTTAAAGTATGTGTTGCTATTTTCAACTGGTATAATTTTTTGCAGACATTACTGGTGGAGTTTAAAGACAAGCCAGTGACTAAATGCCGAGTCTTAGACTGTGATACTATTACCCAAGCCAAAGAGAAAATGATTGACACGATGTGTCGCAATATTCCATACACACAGCGGCCATGTGCTGCTGATCTAGATCTTGGTAAGCTTATCTAAAGCTTGTTCATTAAATACCTGTATTTTTTATCTACGACAACTAATGTGCATTTATTTACTGACTTTTTATATATATCTAAAGAAGTTTGAACATGCTTGATAAATTCCATATTCAGTTATCCAATTCTTTCTCACTGTACATTTAGAAAACTGCTAATACTGTGTTGGTTGTGAAGTATAGCATTAGTGCCATATTAAGATAAACTAAGGAAAAAAAAACAATGAAATATTCTGTAGAGTGGACCAGACAAGGTAAAATCTTGTGTGATGAGGATAGTTCCACCCCTAAGATAGACGGATGGAAGCAGTTTAATACACTGAAGTATTACAAGGTGGAGGATGGGGCCGAGATGACGTTACTGGAACATCAGAACTGTCGCACACTGCCCAGGTCTCCTAATGGTGAGAATACAGGCTAGAGGGTCTCTAAACTGTCACTAGATTTGTCTTTTTATGAAAAACGTTGGTTGTTTGAATGGTCAGTTATTTAAAATTGATGATTTGTGTAACATATAGATCTTCAATGCAAAAGTAGAGTGTGTTTTGTTTATTTTAGTATTATAATAAATAATTGTTCTTTAGGTGAATGTCTACAAGTATTTTAGATAAAGTGTTCTTAGGTTGTGTATTGTCTATTTCAGTTAAGTGTTCTTAGGTTGTGTATTGTCTATTTCAGTTTAGTGGTTTTAGGTAGTGTATTGTCTATTTCAGTTAAGTGTTCTTAGGTTGTGTATTGTCTATTTCAGTTAAGTGTTCTTAGGTTGTGTATTGTCTATTTCAGTTTAGTGGTTTTAGGTTGTGTATTGTCTATTTCAGTTTAGTGGTTTTAGGTTGTGTATTGTCTATTTCATTTTAGTGGTTTTAGGTTGTGTATTGTCTATTTCAGTTTAGTGGTTTTAGGTTGTGTATTGTCTATATAATGTAAGTGGTTTAGGTTGTGTATTGTCTATTTCAGTTTAGTGGTTTTAGGTTGTGTATTGTCTATTTCATTTTAGTGGTTTTAGGTTGTGTATTGTCTATTTCAGTTTAGTGGTTTTAGGTTGTGTATTTTCTATTTCAGTTAAGTGTTCTTAGGTTGTGTATTGTCTATTTCAGTTAAGTGTTCTTAGGTTATGTATTGTCTATTTCAGTTAAGTGTTCTTAGGTTGTGTATTGTCTATTTCAGTTAAGTGTTTTTAGGTTGTGTATTGCCTATTTCAGTTTAGTGGTTTTAGGTTGTGTACTGTCTATTTCAGTTTAGTGGTTTTAGGTTGTGTATTGTCTATTTCATTTTAGTGGTTTTAGGTTGTGTATTGTCTATTTCAGTTTAGTGGTTTTAGGTTGTGTATTGTCTATTTCATTTTAGTGGTTTTAGGTTGTGTATTGTCTATTTCATTTAAGTTTAGGTTGTGGTTTTAGGTTGTGTATTGTCTATTTCAGTTAAGTGTTCTTAGGTTGTGTATTGTCTATTTCAGTTTAGTGGTTTTAGGCTGTGTATTGTCTATTTCATTTTAGTGGTTTTAGGTTGTGTATTTTCTATTTCAGTTTAGTGGTTTTAGGTTGTGTATTGTCTATTTCATTTAAGTGGTTTTAGGTTGTGTATTGTCTATTTCAGTTAAGTGTTCTTAGGTTGTGTATTGTCTATTTCAGTTAAGTGTTCTTAGGTTGTGTATTGTCTATTTCATTTTAGTGGTTTTAGGTTGTGTATTGTCTATTTCATTTTAGTGGTTTTAGGCTGTGTATTGTCTTTTTCATTTTAGTGGTTTTAGGTTGTGTATTTTCTATTTCAGTTTAGTGGTTTTAGGTTGTGTATTGTCTATTTCATTTAAGTGGTTTTAGGTTGTGTATTGTCTATTTCAGTTAAGTGTTCTTAGGTTGTGTATTGTCTATTTCAGTTAAGTGTTCTTAGGTTGTGTATTGTCTATTTCAGTTAAGTGTTCTTAGGTTGTGTATTGTCTATTTCAGTTTAGTGGTTTTAGGTTGTGTATTGTCTATTTCAGTTTAGTGGTTTTAGGCTGTGTATTGTCTATCTCATTTTAGTGGTTTTAGGTTGTGTATTTTCTGTTTCAGTTTAGTGGTTTTAGGCTGTGTATTGTCTATCTCATTTTAGTGGTTTTAGGTTGTGTATTGTCTATTTCATTTAAGTGGTTTTAGGTTGTGTATTGTCTATTTCAGTTAAGTGTTCATAGGTTGTGTATTGTCTATTTCAGTTTAGTGGGTTTGGGTTGTGTATTGTCTATTTCAGTTGTAGTGTTCTTAGGTTTTAATTAGGGAGTGATATCTATTTGAGTGTTCTTATGGTGTATTGTCTATTTTAAGAGTAAAGTGTGAATGTTTGAGGGTCTATTGTCTATTTTGTATCAGTCTTCCTAGGGTATCTTGTCTACTTTTAATATTATTGCTTTAGGTTTTATTGTGAGTCTTTTTTATTTTGAAGTTTTCCTTTTTTTCTGGGGTGTATTGTCTATGTTTTTGATTTAGTGCTCCTTGTGGATATTGGTGTTTTTAGGATGTATTGTCTATTTTAGTGCTAGTGCTCATAGTAGTGTGTATTGTCTATTTCAATGTTGGTATTTTTAGGATGTATTGTCTATTTTAGTGTAGGTGTTTTTAGGATGTATTGTCTATTTTAGTGCCATTGCTCGTGGTAGTGTGTATTGTTTATTTCAATGTTGGTGTTTTGGGATGTATTGTCTATTTTAGTGTAGGTGTTTTTAGGATGTATTGTCTATTTCAATGTTGGTGTTTTTTAGAAAATATTGTCTATTTCAGTGTTGGTGTTTTTAGGATGTATTGTCTATTTTAGTGCTAGTGCTTGAAGTAGTGTGTATTGTCTATTTCAATGTTGGTGTTTTTTAGGGTCTTTACATTCCTCAGGATTTGCTTTCACAGTGAACAGAGAAGCTCAGCCAATCACACGGACAGAGAGTGAAGTGGGCTGTAAATACTGGCATCTGGTCAAACAGGACGATTTCAACACAGGGATCAAAATCAGCTCAGAAGTCTTCCTAACTCGCCTGCTGGCCACCAAGGTAAGGCTTCTGTATATGTAGTGCACTGGGTAGCCCACTGTAAGATTATAATGCCCCTCATGTAACATGTGAAGGACGTTGAATTGCCAAAAATAGTTATACAGAAAATGTTTTGAAAATTTTAAAATACAAATGTTAAATCAAAAGTATATACCGGGTACATGAAATAAAATATATATTAAAGACCAAGATTTTTTGTGCCGGATAAAGGAATTAAATTCGGAATACGTAATTCCCATATAAATTTCTAATACCAAATCCCTAAATATAACATGATTATGAATCATGTGTTGTACTAGGTTTTGTATGGTTATCACTTATATGTTGTAATTTTTTGTTTAGGGTACCCTGAAGAAGTACATAGACGATTTCTTCACCATTATCCTGACGGCCAATGAGAGCATTCCTCCCGTCATTAAGTCGCTGTTTGACTTCCTGGATGAGGCTGCCGAGAAAAACAACGTAGAACCCGAAGTTGTCTACAACTGGAAGTGTAACAGGTAACTGTACTCACAGGTGCTTGAGGACAGGACCCCCCCCCAATATAGACCCCTGGGCCTGTTAGACTTTTTTACATAAATTATATATGGATAACACATTTGTGATATAATCTATCCTATCAATTCAGAAAATTTGCTTAAACTAACATTTTATAAAAATTTCTACCCACTCTCTATATATAAATTAACAAGGTTGCCAGCTTCGTGTGCAAACCGAGGGGAACTGCCGAGAATTTTCTCATAAATCTAAATAAAGCCCCAAAATCAACAACTCGTATTGTAGATTGAATATTCTTTTCATTAACGACCAACTCTCATGAAGGATAAGGTACTTTAACAGTCGTTATGACCAGTTTTCCACAGGGATGTCAGGCTACAGTCAGCGTTTTTGCTTAGTGAACGGAAGTGACTTGGAGAAGAATTTTTACCGAAATACACAGGTCTGCAGAAAGTCTGAAACACTGTTTTGAAATAAACATTTGAAGAAATTTGGTTGATATACACTTTAAAAAATGTCTTTCAAATGTATTGGAAGAATGAAGTTCTAAACCGCTCCTGTAAATGAAATGTTTCTAATAATTTTTCAAATACCTGATTTGCATGTATCGGTTTTGAGAGTTATGCCCTTTTAAAAATGCAATTTATTAATACCTTCTTTTCCTTAAATACATGTGTATTTCGTGTCTCTCTACAAAACGTTTGAAAATAAAATTTTGATGAAGAATTCGTACAAAAAACAAGAATATATATTTATTGTTGATATCTAACACGCATATCTGGTTATATGGGGAACATGGGGAATTAGTCCTTTCCTCATTACTTCCGTTCAATAAGCTTTTTACGGAGTTGGCAACCTTGCTGAATTTTATATAGAGAATGTAGGGTAGATTTTATAAAACGTTTGTTTTAGGTAATTTTTCGATTTGTTGGTATAGCTCTTATCACAAATATGTCAATGAAAGATTGTTTATGAGAAAAAAGTCGAAAAAGACTAGGGGTCTATATCGAAGGGGGGGGGGGTCCTGTCCTCAAGCACCTGTGACTGTACTCAAGTCTCCATAAAAAACTTAATGACTTAACTTGATATAGGAGATTAAGTTAAAAACCATCTGATAATATTTTATTATTATTATTAATAAGTAGTATAGTTATAGATTTGTCATTTCATTAAAAATGATGAACTATGTTCTTCTCTCCGCAGTGTTCCACTGAGATTTTGGGTGAACATTATCAAGAACCCCGAGTTTGTATACGACATCAACAAAACCAACATTGTGGACTCCTGTCTCTCTGTTGTCGCTCAAGCCTTTATGGATAGTTGCTCAACCTCCGACCAAAATCTAGGAAAGGTATGCCCCATTTTCTGACACTTCATGAAATATGTTTTTTTCCCAGTGTAAACAGGAATTTATAAATTTATAAATGCCTTTTCCTAGATATATTACAATCGAAAAGTCTGATTTTTTAGAAGTATTCTTTCATTTAATCCTTATCAATTTACAGTTGTTATGAACTGGTGTCTGAAATTAAACATTTCGATGCTGCACCTTCACTTCCATGATTTTTATGACAAACAAATATCCTATACATTATAACTGATGGTATTTGTACTGTCTGATTTTGTAGGATTCTCCCTCCAACAAGCTCTTATTTGCCAAAGACATCCCCCAGTACAAGTGTTTGGTGGAGAAATACTTCCAGGACATCAGGGCCATGCCAGCAGTCAGTGACCAGGACCTAAGTGCCTATCTCAATGAAGTCTCCAGGGTAGGTTATTGTCTACACAATCAGTGGTGATTTATACTTCTTATTATACAGCTGTACATACAGTAAAACTTGGTTATAGCCAAGTCACTGAAACCTATGAAATTACTTCGCTTTATCTGTAATTCTTTATTTCCGTATAAGAAATTTGTTAAATTTATTATAGCTGGGGATCCAAGATAACTTCACTATATTTATGAATTCACAATATCCTTGTTCATACTAAACAAGTTTTACTGTATATCTCTGATTTTTTTAAGTGACCTTAAGCAGCATTTTAAGTGGAAATTTTTTTTTTTTAATAACTTTCCAATGAATTCAGTTATCATTTTGAACTAAGTAAACAATGCATTTCTTCATGATTGTCATTTACAGATGGCCACTGATCGCTTCACCAAAGAAAATGCTCTCCATGAACTTTACAACTATGTACATGAATACAGCAATGCAGTAAGGACATTTGGATTCCTTCACCCAAATTAGATTTGTAATTGATGTTAATGGTTTCTTTTTTTCTAATTTTATTGATCACTTTGACATTTTTTTCCAGATCAATGAAAGTCTGGAGGAGGATCAAACATCTTCAGCCCAGCAACTTCCTGCCAAACTAGGTCATGTGATCACAACAATGGAGGGACCCTCGTCTTCAGGCCCCGCCTTCGTCTGACCTTGACCCCCCACCTGGGCATTAATCCCCACTGTGTAGACAAATACTTAATCTGTGTCAAAGTGCAATACTTAAACCATCACTGGCATCTTCCATACATAAGTGTAAAGACCGTGGTTATTTATTCATGTTTCATGACTTGTTATATTTTATAATGAAATTGCTCATACTGTGTTCAAGTCTGATTGTTTTTTGTTTTTTTAATCGTGATTTAATTGTATGTATTTGATAGAAAGATTATCCTTTTCTAGATAGATTATCTCTTTTTAATGTATTTTTTTTTAAAATGTAAAGTATTTACAAATACTAGTCAATGAAAAGGTGCAAATTAAGCTCTCAAACCCCGTATTGTGTGTACCAATTGATTATTCTGAGTGATTGTAGCACAAAACAATTTATAAAAAGCCCCCAAAACCCTTTTAACAGTTTAGGTTCCAGTCACCTCTATCAATTTTTTTTCTCCTCCTGCGATTAAAACCTTTAAGATTTAGTTCTTTTTAGTTGTCACCATTGAATAAAATGTCTATGCAAATTTGAAAGGTTACTAAAACACAAATGTGGATAAAACGGGATTTTGTGAGAATGTTGTGTTTGTTTAATCAGGCCATTTGCTTAAGTCTTTCATTTGTAACTTTGAAATGAAAATTTCCTTGCCAAAATACGAGTGGAAGTTTTAAGTCTGCATTTTTGTGCAACATTTAAATATTGCAGGTTTCAAAGTATTAATGAATTGTTGGTGGTTTATTGAATGGAGTGCACCAATTTCTGACTTTTTGCATATTAGTTATATCATTGATATATGTTAAGTTTTGTTAATATTACATGTAGTTTTTTTTAATCATTTGTTAGTTTTTGTTGCAAACTTATATAAACTCATTGCCTAATTGATATACAATTTTTCATCTTATGCATTCATTGATTTAAC